TAGTGTTGGTCCATGGGACAATCCCCACAAAAGAAATCTCCTTCAGACTGCCATCTCTTGCTCTTTGAATAAAGGAGCTTTCAGATTTCCAGATGAAGGAAAGAGAATAGAATTTGAAGCCACTGTGATTTGATTATAGTGAATGAGAGTCAGTAACTACTTTAAGGGGAGGCAGATGGGGCTCTTTTCCACCCTCATAAACAATAACACTAAAAGGGATGTCAGCTAATTCGGTATCTGGAAAAGGCCATCTGGCCTTTTTTCAACTGTATTCATACTGCAAGTATTTCTTTTTTCCCCATTTATTCTACTTTACATCTAATTGTTAGGTTTTATTTCTGTATTGATGGATGCCTTTAATTTTTTACCTTAAGACGACCCTACTGTGAGAATGGATACAGCACAATGACAAAGAAACTAAGTGAGTAATCAGGAAGTTTGAACTGAAATCGTTAGATGGTCTTAGGGAAAGCCTTTTTCCCCCCTGTACCTAGTGCTCGTTCCAGGTTTATGAGAGCCCTTGGGCAAGACGCCTGCTGACCACCGTTGTTCCCAGCCACTTTTGCTCCACATCCTCTTTAGGGTCTTTGCTTTCATTTGCTTACTTGACAGACAGAATGCCAGTGAGCAAGTAGGCAGTGATATGTACTGTTCCTATTTCTCACTACCACCATTGTCTGGGACAGAAGGGAAGACAGATGAACAAGCAGGTTTCAAAGATGAAGAGGTGCCCATCCATGACCTACTGGCACTGGTCTTGTTTGGACCAATCCTTTGTCTGCAAAATGGGCTGACCTACTTTATGGATTGCTGTAAGGATTACAATGATCATGCAAGTGAGTTGCATTCCACACTCAAAAACATTACCAGGGCTAGGACACAATTGGTTGCTGTAGGAAACAGTATACTGGACTAGATAATGCTTTGGTGTGGTCTAGGAGGCTATGCTTACAAGCTTTTCTGCCTTTTCATATTTTGGGAAGCAGAAAAATAGAAGGTGAATGTTAGCCCATTACTAAAGAAGAACTAAAGAATTCAGTCAGCCTGGGACTTCAGTGAAATTTTGGTACATTAAGTGCTCATGAAAGGTTCACTTGTAAGTCAAAGCCTAGGAGGACTTTAAGGGATACAGCAAGCAATTTGAGCATCTTTAATCAGTATTTATCATTTTACATAGATTTGTTATAGCAACACTTTATGTCTCCTACGTATCTCCTGTAATGTTTATAGTTAGTTGCCAGCATTTGGAATGGCTTCTTTTGTTGAGTTTCTTCTTTAGGATTTGATGATACCCCTTTTCCTGGACATCATCAGATATATGGACAAGAAAATAATTATGCTTCAGCTGTTATCTTAAAAGTCTTCAGTGTGTCTTTGGCTTATACCCTTTTCCTTTTCTTTCCATTAAAGTTCAGTACCATTTTATGTCAGTATTTGGTCTCCAGATAAAGAATTGATTGGTGCACATTCATTATGCCTCAGTCACTTTAGAGTTTTCCCATTTGCAGTTAAAGTGGTGCACAAATGTACATGTAGAAACCAATATTAATGATGGGCTGACTCCAAGCTAAGTTAGTTTTACTGTAGTCCAGTTGAAATCAATATAAAAAATAGGTCTGGCTGAGTAAACGAAGGAGCTTTGGAAGCAGGCATATATCATTACAAGGAAATGTATTTGTTTGGTGTACTTCAGGCACTTGGTTATTTGGTGGGAAGACTGCATTTACTTTTAAATTGTTCTGTGATCTAAGTAGAGGCAGCTATGAAGGTTTCCTGTGGCCAAACCCCATAGTTTTAATAGACAACTTAACACTGAGAACCTGGATATATTGAGTGGGGAGCATTTGGTCAAGCAACCACTGTTAAGATTTCTGTGTATAATGATGGACCTTGGATTCTGTGTGCCCAACCAAATAGTTTTGGTTGGAATGTCGCCACTCTGATACTGTCTGGCTAGGACAGAGAGGGAATGAGCACATTTTGACTTAGAATTGTAATATTTTGAGAATAGGAACAGAGAAAACTAGAAAATACCTGGTGTCTTGGTAGCCACTTTGAAATTGATTGGCATCAATGGTAGTAATTAGATGCTGAATTAAGTAAGGTGATAGACTAACCAATATGTTTTGTCAGCTTATTTACTTTACTGAAAAAAGAGATGAATAGGAATAGATCTTAAGACAGGTGACATGGAGACAGAAGGTTAACCTATCCTATGTGCCTTTTATAAAAGAGGAAGATAACTCCTGGATCTTTTCTATGTAAATAAAGAGCAAGCCCTTTCTGGTTGTTTATTCTTGCCATTGTATATGCCTGCCTTTGAACGTAAAAGAGAGAATATGAAGTGCAACTGGGAGAAATGGTTACATCCCCTCCTCAGTCCCAATATATAACAAATATTGGGAAACTGGGATGCTGGGAAGAGAAGGAAGTTCTTAAAATCCCACCCAGTGGGATTTCACCTCCCATTTATCCCTGCCAGCACAGAGAAGCCACTACGGTAGCAGTGCTGAATCTTTGTTGGGGCCCCAAGTTTCTGGCTTAAACAGAAAGTGAAATCTTGAGTGGTGTTTCGTAGGTGAAGCAAATCAAAATCCAAAGTTCGGCCATACCTTTATTAGGAATGTCGGTTGTCCTATTAAAAATATCCAGTTATATAATTAGGAGTCCTATGGTGATGAAGTTGCTAGAAATTTTAATACCACATTTGGTATAGATTTTAGGACTACAAGAAAAAAAATAGAAGACAAGAATTGTAAAAAATGTGATCTAGGATCCTAGACAACGACAACTACTACTACTATTACTTTTGTGTCAAGTATTATACAAAATACCTCATACAAAATATAAAATTGCTCTGTCTGCCTCTCTGCCTGGTTCTGTGGCAAGGAGCAGGAAAACTTCACCATCTAGTTCTGGACTCGGGGCCCTCTGTCTGGTAGTGTTGAAAGTGATGGTGGGGGTAATGCTTTGTCTCTTGCTTCCTTGCCCTGGGCTTTCTCCTAGTACTATTGGTGAGTGGAAGGGAACGTGAGTAGAACTTTCTCAGAAGTGACACTTCTTTTTAAACGGAGGATAGTTCCTACTGATTGCATAAGTTTGCAGCCCAACAGCATGCATTATTATAGTTTATAATACATTTCCATGATCTTCCTTGCCAGTATGCCAGTGCTGGGATTTATAGAATTTTTCCTGCCTAAACATGCATAGGATTAAACCCATAATCACCTAAAATAAGGGACAATGTAGACTTTCTGTGACTGCAATGAAATTATGAAACTGTGATTAGACTGTATAGGCAGACTTCTTTAGCTGCAAACAACTAGATTTACACCCCCACACACACACACACAATATCGCTTTAGAATAAATGGATTTAAAACTGAGGCAGGAACTGTAATAAGTGAATGTGCACAGTGGTTCATTTCCATTAAACCGTTCCAAATATTTTATAAAACAGTCTTTTGCTAGTTTGTGCATTTTAAATTTGCTGTTTAATTGTCCAAGGAATAGGATTTGCTCATACCACTTCTGTCGATCATTTTTCACACAACTTTAAGATGACAATATAGCCCTTTTATATGTGTGTGTGCAAGTGTGTGTGGGTGTGTGTGCGCGCACACATATTTGGTCAAGCAGCTCAGGGTTGTCCAATCCCCTTCCCACCAGCTTCCTGAGCCAATGAGACTACCCCCATAAGGACCGGGGTACTCCTATGAGTGCTGTGGACTATGGTATGGGGGGAAATCATGGAAGAAGCTTTGTTTTCTCCATTCACAGACAATGTTTATGCCATCTCCTCTTCCCCTCAGCCTCCTGTGCCACATTATACTTCATCTAGCAGGGGCTCCAACACTCAGAGGAGGGAGCAGGGAAGTCCACATCCATATGCTCTTGCTGCATGAAGAGACCGAGAGCGAACTCATTCCATGTGGGAATGTATATAGAATATTAACTGAACACAACTTTAGGGGCATGTTATTGAACATTGTTATATGTATTAGCAGGTGGGAAACAGATGAAGCAGGGTGACATGATGTAGCCACATTGAAGTCTTGTATATAATTCTTGATTTACCGGTGGGATTCCTTTCTCAAATCACAAAACCTATGAGTGTAAGAAAGGGCTTTGGCAAAAGCAAAGCAGTATACAAGCAAATGGACCAACAATTAATGCACTCAAAGGTAGTGGTGTTCATTCATACACATGCATGTGTATCCATGATGGGGAAAAGAAAAAAAAAGGACACTGTGACTAGGCTGATGACAGGGATCTTTCAGGCTTTGATGACTGGAATGAGAGTAATTACTGAAGTATAATTGTTTTTCATTACTGTATATAGTAGCCATTTAATAATCCTGGGAGAATGATTGTATACATTATTTAGTTTGTGTGAAGGAACATAGTTTCACACTGCCAAATTATACTTTCATTAATACTCTTGAATTTCAATTGAGAATATGATCAAACAATATTTGTAGCTCGTGCTCAGTCCAGAGACTGATGAACTGTATTTTGTATTTGATAATGATCTTTGAGTTTTTAGTACTTACCAGAGTTTTTTATTTGCAAACAAAAGTTCAAGAACTAGTATACAAAATACAGTTAACACGCTTATTGGTTTGTATATGTCGCATTAGTACTTTGCCATGGATGGACAGGCAAAATGTATCAGGTCATTCAAGCTGATACCTGAATGAAACTGAGAATGTTAAGAAGTTACATGACAAACTGTAGAACAGCTAATCTAATCTATGCAGAAATAATTTATTCTTGGAATTCTTGCACTTTAGCCTGCTTTACATGTCACTATTTTGTGTCAGTGATCTTAACTGTGTTGCTTGAAACAAATGCAATTCTAAGCCCTGAGCTATATCAGTAACAGGTTTTTAATGTACTGCTGCTCAAAAGACAAACATACAAGATACATGAACAAGTTCTTGCTGACCTATACAGTGCTGGCATTATAATAGGTCATATTTCAAATACTGTGTGTTTGATAAATAGCTTGCCTCTAAAAAGCTCTATCTTCAGTGCTAAAATCTCTCATGATGTATGGGCACATCTGGCTGATAAATTCTAATGTCAACATGTGTGTGCTAGTGATTCATCAGGTTTGTAAAGAGTATGCTCAGTGAAACATGTTGAATTCATAAAGATACAGTTTTTTGAAATTACAGAATTACCACTGGAACTTTCCACTCTCCCACCATAAAGACCTTTTGAAAACTGTTTGCATGTTGCAAGCAGCCATTAAGATTTTTTTTTTAATTGACACATTTAAGTTTGGAGGCAAATGGATCATTTTCAGACAGTTACGAGGGAGATTTTAACCAACCAGTGGCAAACTGACAGTATGTGGCAGCCTGGGAAAATGAAGACAACAGGAGAACATTAAGAAAGCACTACAGCTTATAAAAGTTGCACTTCTGGTGTTTTCTGAAATCCACATAATTAATAGTTCAGTCATTTTGTAACACTTGTGTTAAAATTCCCTGCCATTTGTAGGATATAAAATGGTTGATCAAATTAACTTTGAATTCCTGTATGAATGTGAGTTATCGTCTTTAATGTTCGGCCTTAGCTTGGCTTTTTTTGTTTTTGGAAACAACGTAATTGTAAGGAACTGCAAATCTCCAAGAATGACAACTGTTTTGCTCATTCAAGCAATAAAGCCATGTATGGATTATTCAAAGCTCCAGGCCAGAAGAGGGCATGCCAGGTATAGTGACTAGCTGTTTATCATTTCTTATATTTCTGTTATGTTTTTCTGCTATGATGAAGCTCAAGGTATGCTATCTTGGGTTTCCAGGTATTTGACAAAAGCTTGCCCTGATTTGCTTAAATTACTCCATCACATGACTTCAGATCATAACTTTTCTATCACGCCAGTGGTTGCCTCACTGTTTATCTACAGGGCTTTCTCGTCAATATTGACCTAAGGCATTTTGCAACCTGAAGAGCCCACATGGTAGCCACTCCCACTCAGACCAACATTTTAAAGTTTCTCATGGTACCATTCTGAGTTTCTCATACATCCCTTATGCGAAAAAAGTCCTGCCATTTTGTTGTATTCTAGAACCAAGCCCTGTTCCCTTTTATTGTATAGCTGCTATTGCCGCTTTTCTTTTACCACTTCTGATTAACTGCTTTTCTGGCTTTGTCCCTCAGACTACCTTCTTGACAGTGTGTTAGATTATATTCAAATGTTTATCTTTTTCGTGATCTTGATATTGTTGTGCTTTAAGATTTTTATTGGGTAGAGTAAGTGTTTGTAATGTGTAACTCACACTACAGTACTTATGAGACTAATAATAATTTGGAGACTTTGGAATACTCCTTCAATTATACATTACATCTATTTCCTGGGAGATAAACACACACACACATTGTGAAAAATTACCTTAGAGCTCAAGCAGTGAAGAACATACCATTTTGAAACATACTTAAGAGACCAATTTGTTGTGTACATTTTGGTAAAACCACAGCCTAAAACATATATGTTCTAGGCAATCATGCCTGCATTTCCACAGGAAATTATGGCTGTATTTATCAGAGATTAAAATGCATGTGCACCTCAGAAGAAAGTCTTTAGAAAGAAAGAAATCCAAAATATTTTGATTGTAATCAAAAATTGTATTTTTTCCTCATAAAAAAAGTTTCACATACTCACTGTGTCTACTCTACAGAATTTGTCCATTTCATTACACCACGGGTCAATTCTAGTTTTATTGGGTCACTGCAAAAATTCGTGGCTAATGTGTGTCATACAACACAGGAGGAGGGTATTACTCAGTTCCACTATTCCTACATTTAATTAAAAAACAACAAATACAGAAAAAATTCTCATCTACTTGCACTGTTTAGACAGCACTGAGTGCCTCTTAGATTATAAGAAGCCACATCATAGAGTCCTAAAAAAACAATTTGGTTGGCACAGAACTCTTCCAAGACAGGTGTTTGTTTTTTTTTAAAAGATACCACACCAGTAAATATTTGTATTTGAACCCAACACCATCCACAAAGTCCAAGATTTTGATTTTTATGGAGGAATGTTTTTTCTTTCTTTTTTGCTTTTGTACAGGGCACAGCGACAGTCTTGTGCACTGCCAGTTTAAAACTGCGTGGTAATGTTGCTATTTCAGGCTATGTTAGCTGGAACCCCTATAACTGTTGCTTGGACTTCTAGTGCTGTGCTTTTCTCTTTCCCAGTATCCCAAAGGGTGATTAGAGGAGGATAAAGCTCACTGAAGGAAAATGATTGTTTCTTCAGGTAATTCCTGAAATAGCTGTGTCCTGCATCACAGTTCATTTCATGGGAGATGCAACTGAAGAGAAAGACTACACAAAAGAATCCCAAAAGGACACCAAGGCAGGCAAGAAATGTTGTGATGTTGCTTTTCTTGTATGTCGCCATTGCCATATCCAATCCTTTTGTGGTAACATTGATGCATTGTCTTGCATTTTGTAGTCGGACGGTGGGAATGTCAATACAAATTTTATATTCCGTTGATGGGGAGAGATGTGTAAAATTATAGACCCTTACATGAGATGGAATTCGGGCACTCTGTGAAGCCAAGGAGTTTTCATCTTTTGGAAAAGCAGTCCATCTAATGGTGGTTCTCACTATTTTAGAATGTGCTTTCCAGGACAGTAGAATGGAATTAGATCGAACATCTTCTACTTTAATAGACAAAGATTTATGGTTATCCTGGGGGAAGGATCCATCCACATTGATCATAATGGATTTTAAATCTGCACCGACTAAATTAGTGGCTATGCATGTGTATAGGCCACTTTCCTTTTGTGTTATATCACTAATGTCTAGCGTTCCTTCTGAATGTACATAGTACTTGAGAGAAACAGTGTTGGGCAAAAGTTTCTGACCTGATGGAGTTATCCAGTAAACTTCAGGTTCTGGTTCTGCAGTTGCTCGACAGTGTAATGAAATGTAGCTGCCTGTTTCTAAATTTAGGCTTGAGGGAAAACTTTCTGGGGCTATCAGGGGAAGGCAGATTTCCATCATTTCCCTGAAATGAATCTTCCTCACATTTTGGCCTTGAAATTCAGGAGGGTCTACACAGAATAGTGATTCTGGCTCCATGAATCTAATGCTAGTTTTATTCATATTAATCCACCGGATGACACAATCACATCGAATTGGGTTGCTGTGCATACTGATTTCCTTGAGGTTAGGCAAAGATTCAATTGTACTGCGATACAGGGCACTAAGAGCATTACTGTTGAGCATGAGTGATTCCAACCGGGGAAGTCGATAGAATGCATTTGGATGTATATATGATAATCTAGGATTATTGGTTGCTTCTATTTTTCTCAGATCTGGTAAATTGTCAATAGCCAAGTTGTCTATAGATATCAGTTCAGGCATGTTATTAATTCCCAATTCTTTGAGGTGTACCATATTGCTAAAATCCCCTCTTCGTATTCTGTTAATGGGGTTTTTGTTTAAATCTAAAAATTTAAGATTTGTAGCCTTTTGAAGAGCTGTACGGGGCACTTTTACTAATCTGTTGTCATAAAAAGAGATGCTTTCTAAATTTTCAAGGCCAACTAAGGCATTATCAGGTACTTCTGTGAGATTTATGCCTGCTAAAACCAGGCTCCGCAGATTGCTAAGGGATTTAAAGTTCATATCTTTGATTCTGATGATTGGATTTTCTCCAATCATAAGAATCTCCAAATTAGGAATAGCTTCAAACCACTTACTGTCGATGAATTGCAAACTGTTGGAATTGAGATGAAGTCTAAGAAGATTATCAAGGCCTGTGAAGGCTCCTGGTGCAATTGTGGAAAGAAGATTGTGATTAATGTAGAGTTCCTGAAGATTGCTCAGTCCAGAGAGGCATTTGTCAGGCAATTCTGTAAGTTTGTTTTCCTCCAGGTAGACTGAAAGAAGTTGGGGTATCTTTCGAAGTTCGATGTTGGCCACTGAGGACAAACTGTTCTGAGATAAATCCAAACCAGTAAGGTTTACTGGGAATTCAGATGAATATTCAATTTTTTTAATGTTGTTTGCCTGTAGGAGTAGAACCTGTGTGTCAGCAGGTAATCTGGTCGGAAAAGCAGAAAGGCCGGCATCATTGCAGTCTACTGTTGAAGCTTCCATGTATATAGATCTTGGCGTAAACCACGGTCTTACTTCACATGTACATGACTGTGGGCAGTCTGCTTTTTTATCTACAGCTTGTACTAGTGCAGTAATAGTCAGGCCAAGTAAAAAGTGAACTTTGAGTGGCATGTCCTTCATCTTAGCTCAATATTCCAGGAAAGTAATTGGCTGTTAATAATTGCACAATTACAGTTTTTAAGTTCAATAAGAGTTGCTCATTTGATAAAACAAGCACTTGCATCTGTCAAATGATGCATGCTAAAGAACCAGGAAACCCCTCTGTTTCTAGGAAATAAGTGGCACCTTTGCAATCACTTTGCCCAGTTAAAAGAGGCATATTCGGGGAAGGATGCTCTTCTTTTCATAAGAATAAATACAGCAGTGTATTTGAATGTGAGGTCCATCCAGAAGGTGGAAGAAAGGAAAGCAGGACACTTATATGGAAGTGTTAACTTTAGATCCCATGATGTTGTTCTTCACTTCTGTTGTTTTGGAAGAGAGACCTACAATATAAGGGAAGTGTAAATTAGTTATTGCACCTTCAAAAACAACTTAGGCATAAATATTGTTTTAGGTGGAAAAAGTACTGTGTTTACTGCACATGATATTTAAACAGTTGGACAGATTAATCCTAGAAATCTGTGAGGGCACATCTGTCTAAAACACTCCTAGCTGAGCAATAATCTGAAGTGTGTGGAGGGCAGGGGAGAAGCAGTAAGTATGTAAATTTATATACATTTTATCTTAGAGCAACATGCCTTGGATTTTGAATCTTAACTGATGTTACAATGTATTATTCTTGACACTGCAACCCTATGTGCCTATTCAGAAGCAAGGAAGAAGAACCAAAGAGGGAAAGAAGAGTCTCAAGTGCTTATGGAAAGCCTTTTATTCTTTATTTTGCCCAACATTTTTCAGAAATGCAAGGGTCCTTTTTCAGGAGCTGCAGTAAAGATAACAAAAACGCAACAGCATTTTAGTGCTACTTGAAAATGTATAAAACCCATATTGTTATTGTTATTACATTCCACTTATATCCCACATTTTTTTGCCTTTTGCAAGGAACCCAAGATGGCTTCCATTGTCCACAACATTTTCATGAGCAAGTGGCCAGAATTCCATTTTCCCAGGTCTCTAATCCAACACTAACCACCAAGCCATGCTGACTCTCTCTAGTGATAGACTGTCAGGCTGCATTCTACATTTATGAAATCATTTTTTTAAAAAAATCCATATAACCCTTATAACCAGTAAGTTGGCACTTACACTGAAATTCTATTGAAATTATTGAAACCAACACAGGGGGAAAACCCCCTAATGAAGACATAACATAAACACTGATAGGACATTTGATGTTACAAATAAATAAAAACACCTTCACTAATTTAACCTCTGTTCCATTATGTAAAAAAAAAAAAAAAATATAGGGCATCTCTGTTAACTTACAATGATAACAGTACTTCATACAAATAAACGCCATTGTCCCATTAACTAAATAACCAAATATATATTGCATGCTTTAATATGACCAGTGCATGTTGTACGGGCATATTCACAGCAAATGATGTGCATTGCCTAAAATTGCAAGTCTTGATCTTGCCTGTTAAGTGAAGTTTATACAATATTGTTCCTAATAGTGCAATCCTGTATGTGCTTGCTTAGAAGTAAATCACACTGCATTCAGTAGAAGTTATTCCCAGGGAAGGGTATGTATAATTGCATTTGGATTGGATTTACAGCTTGTCTTCAATTTCTGAGTTTCTGTGTTGAATAAACACCGGATTTCACTACACAAACACACATGCTCATTCATCTCTGCTCACTGACTTGGGACCTACTTGGCCATCACTGCACCATCTGTAGTGAAATTATCATCTACTAGATGGTGATGCCCTTACTGTGGAATATCCTCCCAGCAAGGGATCATTTCAAAACACTGCATGTATCCATACACAGTATACATTATACATCTGACAAATCAATCTCTAGATTCTGTGGTGTGCTCTCTGTTTTGCTTTTTGCATTAACAAGTGACAATGGCAGCATTGCTTACAAACTGTATGATAGCGTCAGTGGTGAACTGACACTGATAAATGTACTATAAGATGTTGCTGGTTAGAAAAACCTGGATGAAAAACTGTATCATTGGCAAGGATTTTGCCTAAGATGTAAACCATATAAAACTCTGAACTAACACCTGATTAGGCTCTTTCCCTTCATTCGTTGCTATTGAGTCTTTATCAGTAAAACTGACAACTTTCAGATAGCTAGTAAGTATTCTGCCAGTGATACCTGTTATCTGAAATGAACATTGCTGATGTCAGCAAGAAGGGAATGTTATGTTTCTTGGAACCATCCATACGTTTCATGCTTTGAAACATTTTTAAAATGTTTAAAAAATTAAATGTTTTAAACATTGGGAGTGGTGCAGAAGAACAGCTGAGTTAAGTGGGGATGACTGGTGAGCAGACAAGACCTAGCCTTCTGCCTCATTTGCAGGCTCCTGCCAGTAGGAACCTTTCCTTCCGTCCGTCCTTCCTTCCTTCCTTCCTTCCTTCCTTCCTTCCTTCCTTCCTTCTTCTTAGTCTTGTTTGCTTGCTCAGTCTAGTTTGTTGGATTGCTCTAGCTTGCTGCAGTGGGAACTGTGTTGTGCTGTGTTGGGTCCTCATCTGTGTTTGGACCAGCTCTGGGCACAGGCTCATAAAGAACCAGCCCTACTGTGAGTGGCACAGCTGACCATGGTGGGGTTGCCCCAAGGGGGTGACACCAAAGAGTATTGCCCCTTTGGGGGTGCTGCAAGGGCCACCCCACTGACATATTGATCTGTTGGCTGTGCAGAGTCCTTGATGTGGGTTTCCTTACAAAAGGCTGGACAATGAGCCTCAGGGAGAAGCAGAGGGACTTGTGGGGCTAAGCAGAGGGACTTGTGGGGAATCATATTAGCATAGTGATGCATGCAGGGGAAGACATGGCACTGGAAGGAGAGCTAGCCAAGTAAGGAGGATGTAGCCCATACACCTCATGTTTTAGTCCTTCTTGCACCCAAAGGTTTGATGGTTGTCCTATCAGCCTACCCTCAGGTCTCCAGATGCCGCTTTTAAATGGCAGATCTGTATAGAACAAGCTATTCATCATCCATGAGTAATAATGGATGAGACAGCTAATGTGCCATGCAGAACCCAAGCCTGGTGAATGACCAGGAAGGAATGAATCTGTCTCAGCTGTGCCCATCAGTGTACATGGTTCAGCATCTGGGCAGGCTTGAGGGCCAGGAAGCTGGGTTGCCATAACTTTCACTCCCTCTCCTTCTGTCTCACCTCGCTGTCTATTCTCTGACCATGGGTCTGAAGTGTTGGATCTTGCATTGGGCCAAGGGGGAAGATTAGGAATTTTTCTTTTGTCCTGCCCACGCTGTTACCCATGGTCTTCCTACCTGAGCTGACAAGAGGTTGCCTTGGTTGAAGTGCTGAAGTCCCCAGGCAGTTAGTTAACATTCATTCAGTCCTGAATGGTTCATGATTTCATGGTCTCCGTAACAACCACGGAACTATGCCAACTTGTCATCAATCCAATGTATAGAAGTCTATGTTCTAGTTCTATTCTTTAAGCTGGCATTCTCTTTCTTGTGGAAAGTAGGTTTTTGATCAAACACCTAGTAACACCTTGTTGCCTGAGACAAGATTTGCACTAGGGACATCTGGGCTAATATACTTGGTCATGAATTAACAAGAAACTTGTAAAAGTTCATAATATCAACATTTTCAAGTCATTTGCTCCATTGTTATCTTTGGTTTTAGTGGAATTCTTTTTGAGCTAGCAATTTGAAGATTACAGTCAAATTAATAGGAGCTTTGTAGCCAACTTTGTACGCTTGCTACTTACATGGGAAGTTTAGAGGCAGTTTTGAAGCTACTCTGGGCACTAGGATGAGGAGTAACTAATTGCTGGCACTTTTCTTTAGCCATCCACAGTACTTTTTTGGAAGCACATACATAATGTTGCAGGTAGTGATGGCTGTGTTTCTGGGGGCTATTGTTGGCTTGCCACAAAAACCAGTTAAAACATGTTGGAGTGACCTTGGTGTGCAGCTGTGGGCAATAACGGCCCATAGCTGCTCCTCCAAGAAGCTCAAAGTAGTGTGCATAGTTCTTTTTTCTTTTGCTCTCTTTCATACCCATGCTCAAATAAACCTTTACTGTACCCACAAAGTGTCTCTGTGAGTTTGTGCACATGACTGCAGAACCATACTTAAGTTTCTACTCCAATGTCCCTTACTCAGATATAGACATTTTCAGGTTGAGGTTTCTATTTGTGTCAAAGGGGCTAAGCACATTTACCCAAACCCCAAACTTTCTGGGGTTTCCCAGTTGGCATTCCCTCCTACTTCCAGCCTTGTTCCATTAACTGCTTTCTAAAAGGTCAAAATGTCTTTTCTAAGGGCTAGTTATTGTTAGTAAGATCTTAAAGCTAAAATACTCTGGTCATTTTGGCTCTGTCACTGAGATCTATTCCAGACTTGAATTTGGTCCTTGGACTGAAAGAGCTTTCCCACTCCAGATTAATAGCAACTGGTTGAAGAGTTCTAAGTGAGCTACATGGTTGATTGGTGATTTGAACAAGTCTAACACATGGACCATTTCACCAAAAGGACAATAATGCTTCTAAGTCTGTCCCTATAGTATTGTCTAATTACTGCCTACATCTCATTGGTTTTCACTTCATGATTGGTGTATGTTATTCACATAGACAATTTTGAAAGATATCTGGCATTGGTTAATGCTTTGGCAAATAGCCAGTCTTTGGTGGCTGCTCATTGTTATGATCTAAGATCCTTTTATGCTTTATATGTACGTAGGTGTAAAACACATTAACTTGCAGTTTTTAAATATATATAAATAAAACAAACAGACAATGTGTGAGATAAACATGCAGGGGAAACATTCTGCTGTTTTGAAGTTTTGTAATGCATTTTTGTGGCACTGGACCAATTCATTTGCAATGCAAGGAGTCATTGGTACAAAATAATATAATCAAAGTATAATCTGTTCCATTAAATTAGATACTTTTCAGGCATGCACTGAAAAGTGCTCACAACAAGTAATTAATTAATCAACCTCTAGCATTAGTTCTATAAACTGTATTTTTTACACCCTGCTGTCCTTCTTGTTGTTGGATAGGTGGACCTGGAAACTTCAGCTGGTCCCAAATAGTGCATCAAGATTGTCAGTAGGAATTTTATTGGAATGATCAACTCTTGGCTTCAAATTCAACGTGCTAATGTTTTCTTTAAAGCTATAGACAGCTTTGAGCCAATATCATCTTTCACATATACCTGCTTACAGCCTAAGGTCAGAGCCCATTCATCAGAGGCCATACTTGTTTCACATGTAATGGCAGTAAATCATGGGGTAACTAACTAAATAACTATGCCATCAATCAATCCATGGTTTGCTAAGTTTGTATGCCACTGCCATTTTGCTTATGCAAACTCTGGTCAAATTAG